CATATCTATCGGGTAGAACAAGGCAAGAACAGACGCACAGGCATACTTCCAACAGCAGCGAATTCGCCGAAAGAAGAAAAGCTTTCCTCGAACGGTTACAATATTTAATGCAAGAAACGCCGGTCCATAAAGTTCGAAGCTTCCCATGGATGGAAGTGCCCATTAAACCTTCACCCGGATGGAGGCCACCTTATGAACATCTGCGAAAGTTCTGGTTAGAGCAGGAGTCTAAACAGTTGCGCTGTGGTAATCGTTCGCCTGCTAGCAGCAGCCACAGAATTTGCTATTCAAATAATATTTTATTTTGCCTAGAAGCCAAATTGCTTTAGTTCAACTACCACCCTGGCCAATGCACTTCTAAGAGAAAAGCTTTGTTGAGTTAAATCTGCTTCTTCATTTGTTTCATCAATTTGGCTTTTGTGGGTATGAATACAGACACCGGCCATTCAACTCGCTCGACTGGATGCTAGATACTCAGTTTTGTCCATTTAGTGATCAGATCAGATCAGATCTCCTGCAATTTAAATGTGCTCCATTAAGAAACATTGCTGTTACGCTCCTCCAAGTTAAACACCACAATTACATGATGACACCCAAAATGTTGTGCAAGACATCTACTCGCTCAAACGTTGGCTGACTAGGGAAACCAACACCGAGGAGATCGACTTTTCTTTACTAATAAAGCTAACTCAAGGATTCAATTCTGAACTAAGTGTGAAGCATAAAACTTTTCGCGTAAAGGTTTAGACAACCCCCCACCCCCCCAAATTGTGAGAATAAAATTCATACACGACTTATAAATTATTGTCTGATTCAATGTTGATCTAACATTACCATCCATTCCAAAGTTTTACATACTTTGGATGGAGAAAAAAATAAGGAAAAATATACTTTCAGCCTGATTCTTCGTACAGAATTTATGTTGTCCGCGATCAGGGTCAGATTTAGCTAAGATATATAACATGTAAAGTCGAGCATCAACATTGGTACAGAAGGAAGATTCCACAAAATTTCCGCTTAATGAAGATTCCGAGGCTAATGTATCAAGTTCAACAGAAGAAACTACTTACTTGTCCGAGGATAGTGGCCGCGTTTAGGTCCATCCTGTACTTGGAGGATGCCAGGTCGGCGGCTTTGAGGAAAATCTCCGCTCTCTCGCTAATCGGTTTCAGATCCCATGCCTTTCGAGCTTTCACCGCGACGTCAATGGCTTTGTTCAGAAGTATCTAAACCACAATATAGCATACGTAAGAAAACGGACTGCCATAAATTATCAATCCAGGCCTTGCAGCAAACTTTATATGGGCTCATCAACGTTCTCTCTTTTTCCATTCTTCTTTATGTAGCAGGCTGTGCAGACCTTGCTAAATTGATGTTCCTATTGACTGTCATTGAGCGATAATTGCCACATTAAATTCTGACAGTTTAGGCGAAGATAATATACCATATCATATCACATTCGGATGATCGATGGCGTGGATCAGCTTTGACAGGAAACCGTCATGCACCACCGTCAACGGAAATGAGTAGCATAAATATGGCAGAATCTACAACGTGGTGGATGGCATGACCCCAGTCTGAATATCACCAGCTAGTAAACCATCGATATGATCGACGGCAGCGCGTGATCCTGAAAGCGCCAAGTGGG